GGATCATGACCTGAGCTGAAGGCAGTCGCTTAACCGACTGAGCCACCCAGGCGCCCGACCATATAGCATTTTTAAACAAGTAATATGCTGGTTAAAATAGGCTCAAGTAAATGATATGCAGTTATTGGTAGAACTACAGGAAGGGATAGTAGACTCATTATTGTAAAAGATTTCCGTGTCCTCTTCTTCAGTATTGAATCAGTAGATCAATAAAGACCTCAGCAAGGAAGGGAATATATATATAAGGTGGTTTACAAACGTAACCTAATGAATATATATGTGAACTGGGCGTCTAACCATTTTTTCAAATACATGTTGAACATGACAAAAGTGATCACATACTAAGCCATGATAAATGTTTCAGCACATTTCAAGGACTACCATGATCTCTGATCATAACACAATTTAGATAGAAGTTAATGAAAAGATAAATGAGTTTCCACATTTTGAAATTAACATATGCTAAAAAAGAAATCATCAAGACTTAAGAATACCCAGAACCGAATCCTGATGAAGATGTTACATAAAAAAATTATAGGATGTAGCAAAAGAGGTGCTTTCAGGGAAATTGATAACTGTAAGTAATTACAGAAATAAAGCTTCAAAATTTATGAGCTGATTATTCAGAATAGATTATCCTCATTTTATGTTTGTCTTTCCAGAAAAAGAATACTCTTAAATTTATTCTGTGAAGCAGGTAACAAGATACAAATAACAAAAACATAACAACATAAAAACAAAAATAATAAAAAGACATAACAACAAAAACAAGACATCTAAAACATTAAGGTTAAATGATGGTCATTAATATGCAAAAATCTTAAACAAAATATTAGAAAATCTATAAATAGAATTTCACCTTACTAACAAGTTAAAAAACTTATATGGTTGATTGGATGCAGAAAAACCATTTGATAAAATTCAGCACCCATTCAGATTAAAAATGCTTAGCAAATTAGGAATGGAAGGGAATTCTATAAGCTGATGAGTTGTATCTGTAAAAAACCTAAAGGAAACATTATCCAAATTGACTAACTTTTAGTGAGGCATTCCCTTTTTTTTTTTTTTCCTAAAGATTTTATTTATTTATTTGACACAGAGAGAGACAGCGAGAGCAGGAACATAAGCAGGGGGAGTGGGAGAGGGAGAAGCAGGCTTCCCGCCGAGCAGGGAGCCCGATGTAGGACTCGATCCCAGGACCCTGGGATCATGACCTGAGCCGAAGGCAGACGCCCAACGACTGAGCCACCCAGGCGCCCCGAGGCATTCCCTTTAAAATCAGAAATAGACAAAGGTGCTCACTATCACCACTTTTTGTAGAGTGTTAAGTTGGGTTTCTGGTCAATGCAGTAAAAAAAATTAGAAAAAGAAATGAGAGGCATTAGAATTTGAAAGGAAGAAGTAAAAATGATATAATTTGTAACAATAAGATCATTTACTTAGGAAACCCCAAAGAATCTACAAGTTTTGAGAAATAAGTGTTTAACAAGGTGATTATTTACAGAAGTCTGGTATTTCTGTACACAGCCAGCCAAAAATTAATAAAGATAAATTTCCATTTATTACAGGTTCAGAAAATATTAAATACCCAGGCATAAATCTAACAAAGATATGGAACTTCTACAGGAAAATCATAAAACTTAATTAACACATGAAAGAGAACCTGAATAAGTAAAGAAAGACCCTGTGTTTTTTGTTTTGTTTTGTTTTTAAGATTTTATTTATTGGAAAGAGAGACTGCGAGAGAGGGAATACAGGCAGGGGGAGTGGGAGAGGGAGAAGCAGACTCCCCACGGAGCAGGGAGCCCGATGCGGGGCTCAATCCCAGCACCCTGGGATCATGACCTGAGCCAAAGGTAGACGCTTAACGACTGAGCCACCCAGGCGCCCCTAGACCCTGTGTTCATAAATAAGAAAGCTTAGTAATAGAAAGATCTGTCAGTTTGCCCCAGATTGATCTATAGATTCAGAGTGTTTTTAAATAAATTCCAGCAGGGTTTTTAATGTAACACGGTAAGATGTTTCTAAAATACGTATATGGAAGAGGAAGGATCCAAAGTTGCCAAGACATTTCTGAGGATGAGGGAGACTTACTATGAAGCTCTGCTAGTTAAGACAATGTGATAGTGATGTGCAGACAGATACTTTGGCCAGTGGTATATAATAGAGACTCAAACAGACTCACTCATATTTAGATCTTCGGTATTTGATAGAGATGATGCATCAGATCAATGGGGAAAAGAAGGATTGGAAATGGAAGTGATACAAAGGTATCTCTATGGAGGAAATCATATTTTTAAGTCATATACTTAAAACATCAAGTATTTAAACACTCGAGGTTAAATGTCAAAAATAAAGGGGTGCCTGGGTGGCTCAGTCGTTAAGCATCTACCTTCGGCTCAGGTCATGATCCCAGGGTCCTGGGATCAAGCCCCGCATCTGGCTCCCCACTCCGCGGGAAGCCTGCTTTTCCTTCTCCCACTCCCCCTGCTTGTGTTCCCTCTCTCACTGTGTCTCTCTCTGTCAAATAAATAAATAAAATCTTTAATAAAAAAAAAAGTCAAAAATAAAATGGCCAAACTCTTGGCAGAAAATATAGGTATATATCACTGAGATTTTAAGGAAGGAAAGCATTGGTTATAAAAGGAAGGCTGATAAATGTGACTATATCAAAATTAAGAACTTTTGTTTATCAAAAGACATCTTAAAGTGAAAAGACAAGTTAAAAATTGGGAGAAGCTATAAACAACACTAACAAAACCCCAAAAGAAAAGTGGAAGAAGATCTGAACAGGCATTTCCCAGAAGAGGAAGTTCTATGGCTAATAAACATATGAAGGACAGTTTGACATTAATGACAAGGAAATAGCAAAACCACAGTATTTTGTAGTGTGTGCTAGTTTGAGGCTATAAGTATTAGGATGTGGATCTGCAGGACCTCATTGCTGGTAGAAGTGTAAATTGGGGCAGCGCCTTAGAGATTAGTTTGGCTTCGTCTAAATTTGAACATTCCTATGTCCCATGATTTAGCAGTTTCTTTCTTTTTTTTTTTTAGATTTTATTTATTTATTCATAAGAGACAGAGAGAGAGGCAGAGGGAGAAGCAGGCTCCCCGCTGAGCAGGGAGCCCGATGTGGGACTCGATCCCAGGACCCTGGGATCACGACCTGAGCTGAAGGCAGATGCTTAACCATCTGAGCCACCCAGGAGCCCCATCTAGCAGTTTCATTCCTGAGGGTGTATGTAAGAGAGATACTCTTGATCATTTCTAACAGGAGGCATATATAAGAAATTCCATAGCAGGGGCGCCTGGGTGGCTCAGTCGTTAAGCGTCTGCCTTCGGCTCAGGTCATGATCCCAGGGTCCTGGGATCGAGCCCCGCATCGGGCTCCCTG